AGCAGGCAGGGCCCTGTGAAGGCTTAAGGATCTGCAGTTGAGGATGCGAGGAACGCAATTGCGTATGTTGTCCGGTGTCATGTATGTATGTCTAGAACTCATGCACACAGCAGCGAGCAGAAGTGAGTTGTACCTTGCCTAAGGCAATCGGGGATTCCAGAGGGTTTGGGTAGCGATTCAGAGTAATGCTGTGTAACTCAGGCATGCTCGCTTAACTTTTTCCATCCACCCTCAAAGCAGTGCGTCTAAGCACGCATAGATGTCGGCCTTCGATCCCCTGGAAGAAATACTGCACATGACTAGAACCTTGAGACACGACCATGGTTCTGTCGTTGGTACAAAAATTTGCTCCTTGCCCAGTGCAAGTCAAAGCTTGTCGACCTCGTCATGAAGATCGCCGTGCCCTGACTGCTCAGCATACGTTGTCTCAGTGGGCTTCTTTGAGGTCCGGGCTTCGGGTCTCCCTGGCAGTGTGCACGAGTTTGAGCTCTATCTCACCGAACAGTCCTTCGGGTCCGGGGCGGGTGCGGGGCGGCTCCTGCGCTTCTCAGCAAAGCCAAGTAGCCAGTCGAACCCCAGGAGCTGAAGCCATCGAAAAAGGCCAAAAAGTCCGGCGAGGCTGCCTGGGTATGTGTATATATATATATACACACACACAGATAGATGTATGTATGTATGTATGTATGTATGTATGTATGTATGAATGCGTGTATGAATGAATGAATGAATGTATGTATGTATGTACGTACGTACGTACGTACGTACGTACGTACGTACGTACGTAGGTATGTATGTATGTATGTATGAATATCACGGAGCTGGAGAGATTCGAGCTGAAGTTGCTTTCATGGTGACGGCTGATTTTTCACTACTGCCATTCCACGAAATGAGTGGTCCGTCAAACCCGGTGATTGAATGGATGCAAGGCGACTGGCAAGCCCATGCATTGTTGAAGCAAACTCAGAGCTGTCTTCATCTTGGAACGGCAGGAAAAGTCGGATGCCAGCCTGATGCGAGCTTGACCCATTGTCTTGCTGGCGCCAGGACTCCGCGACCGGCTGGTTGAGTGACATCCAGACGAGGATCAAGCAGGACGCCTGTCACTGAATCAGACGTATCCGTGAGGCCTTGCTTTGCGACCGGCTCCTTTTGGTTTAGTCTGCATCTCCAAGTCAGGGGCCCAAGCACCTTCCAGCTGGGAGGACCTGATGAAGAAGGTGGCTGAGATGATTGAGGCAGCTGGGCATCATACAGCTTGAATCCTTCAAACCTGAGTCTTGATTTTCTGAGACCGTGGAGTTAGGCAACAAGACCTGACGATTCATGCATGGCCCGAGGTTCCATAAGTACCGAGGTCCACACGAAGCACTGAAGGTGCCAGAGTAGTGTTCCCTGTCAAAGCTTTGAAGCAGAAAAAAAACCAAGATTCTCGCAAGGCCTGACCGAGTAGAATCCTACGTGCAGCACCTTGTTCCAAACCATTTCCAGGTGTTCTGAGGTCCCAAGTCCTATGAGGGAGGGGGCCGGCTGTTTTCAGGTCAACATCGCGAACTTCCACATCCGTTTTGAGGCACACCCTGAATCCGGAGTGCCAAACCCAAAAGTTTGAGTATGACTGAGGGTTGAGTTTTCTTGCGTTTATGTAAGCATGCATGCCGATGGGGAAAAGCATATGCATAAATGCATGTGTAGAGGGACAGCCGCGGCTCCGGCTAGCTCGGACTCATGCCCTGCATAAGGAAGGAAGAGAGATGGAGAGGTGGTTTGTCCTGCTTTTGCCGGAAGTTTGCGTCCGTAATAGCCTGTTTGCATGCTTCGCGTTGCTGCCTTAGTAAGTCTTTCTACTTAGTTACGCTTTGGCATGTCTGCTTACATAACTGGGAACTCATGTGAAGGGGCACTTGGCAATTGGACAACTTGAGTTGCTAGCCGCTACTGTACTTGTTCCTCGCTGTATCCATTGCCAAATCTCCCATTGCGCACGCTGTGTATGTCGTGTCTGTTAGGAAGCACAGCTGTAGTCAGCTCGTCATCATGGTCTTTATTGCTCTAGCCTACCGTGCTATACGCTGCCGCTTCTGTTTTCACATCCTGCGATGGCCCTCAAGGCAGGCCACTGGCCCGGTTTACCTGCCCAACGCCTGCGAGACAGAGACACACCGACAGAGACACACCGACAGAGAGAGAGAGAGAGAGAGCTGAGATGAGAAGGAGCAAGAGAACACTTTGTGTAAGTGTAAATGACAAGCAGGCGGAATATACACAAGCATGAGCTTAGCAGAAATGTTGGGAGTCATCTCAGCAGTGTCAATAGCAATGCACGCACTCCAATCTAACACTTACAACGGTAAGGCGGGCTCTTAAGGTTGTCATAGCTTTTGAGCTTCACTTTCAAGTTTTTTAATGCCAAAAATCTGTGAGCCACAGTTCTGGTAGGACGTTTTGTCGAGTGCTTTAACTTTTCTGCATGGAGGGTTTACGAAAGAGTTGAGGTTTCGGGGCCCATGAGTGAGGCCTTCGACGCTTTCATGTGCGACATTTCTCCGTGACCAGATCAGAAAGGTGTCATGACTCCGACCAGTGTGTTGCTCAGCAAGAGGCCAAGACTGATCTCCCTACCGTACCTATTCCCTTTGGGGATCCTCATGATCGTCCTGATAGTAGTCCTCTTCATGATGGAGAAGGTGGTGATGAAGTTGTCATATCATCATCACCATCATCTTCTTCATCATCATCAGCATCATCATATCACCAGCTTCTTCTTCTTCATCATCATCATCAGCATCATGATATCATCATCATCATCTTCTTCATCATCGTCATCATCATCACCATCATCATCATCATCACCGTCATCATCGTCACCATACTCATCATCATTATCATCATCACCATCATATCATCATCAAGCTTACAATTGCCATGGCAATCATGGCGATGCCGACGAACATGGCGGGTAGCGACGACGCCCATGATGTTGCGAATGATAGTGGGACGAAGTGTCCGTGGATGGAGCTGAGGGCGAGCGAAGATAAAGGACTCCCGTGTGGTGGTGATGATGACTATTATGTCGAGGATGACGATGAGCATGATGATGGTAACGATGATGACGGTGGTGGTGATGGTGATGATNNTGATGATGACGACGAGGATGACGATGGTGTTTGTGCTGGTGTGGCTGGTTGTGATGGAGCGAATGGTAACCAGATGGTCACCATACACAGTCTTCCTGCTACTGGTGATGACAGTAATAATGGCAGGGCTGATAGGGCGCTGGTGTGGNNACCTTGCAGGACTCTGTGACTCAACCGGTGCCGTACGCCTGTGGCTTCAAGCTGGGCTACGCAGCTGTTTTCGCCAACGAGGATCTCGCCCAAAGTGTCTAGGGTTTTTAAAGTCCGGGGCCTTGCGAGAAGGTCTGCGCCCCGCCTGTCGGCAGGTGTTGAATCGAGTTCCTGATGCCAAGAGGAGGAACTTGTATCGAAACCGGGCGAGTGCCCTTGAGCCTCCAAGCCTCCAAGCACTCGCAGACAGCATTTTTAAGTAAAAAATGAAGCAACGGCTTGTGTGTCCCGTGCCTTGCTTGCGGGGGGTTGAGAGTACACTCAGAGATGCGCACACATGTGGTGCTCATGCACCAAGCGTGTTTCAAGCCCGAAGTTACTGTTTCTGTACTGGACTTGATTCGGTAGTGGCAAGGATGTACTTGATATGCTGGACAAGATGTGCCCGAAAAATCCCCAAATGCATGGAGCCCTGATCGAACGCCCCGATGTGGCAGGACAACAGCTCGCAGCGAACCACGGGCGTGTGGAGGGTGCGGGCTGGGGGGGGGGGGGGGGGCGATGTTGGTGGGGAGGGAGCTCTGGTACTTAGTGCGCCCAGTGCTAGGCTCGAATCAGGGTTAGGTATCCTGTGTGTTGATTCTGATCACACAGCCCTAGCAGCATCCTGATATCTGGTTGGCCAGATGGAAACAGTCCAGGCTTTAGTTCTTTTCGATAAGTCCCAGGCTCAAGTACTGGGCGGTCATATTATATTCTCTGTGCTTCGCTGGCATTTGATCATTGTGGTCATTCTTTCATTCGTCGCTGTCAATGATGTCAGTATTCAGCCAGCCGGTGGAAGTGGAATGTCTGAGAGTCTGAAGCCTGCAAGCGCTTGCCAGCACACTGTGGACGTTCTTGCGGACCCGTTGTTCTGCCAGCTGATGGCTCAGCGATGGGTTGTCGTCATTTGTGTCATCATGCAGGGTTCACGTGCAGCACCCTCCTGGAAGCCCGAGTCCAATCCGATTGAGTGATGTGGTTACCAACCCGCCGAAGCCGCGGGGCTCCTCATCACAGTGGGCCAGCCATAGCCAGAAACAGCCCCAGGTGGGCACTGGTACTTTCGTGGCTAAATCTGCTTTGCACGCATTTCGGGATGCAGTAGTCTCGTCTAGATCACGGGTCTGCCGTGAGATGATGTACCACGAGAAGAGCGATGCTCTCGTTGGGCCTTCTGCAAACACAGGATGAAAGATTTGCAGCAAACAGGCTGCAGAAGTCTTAAGTGATTCTTCGCATCCCAAATGCCATTGGTGGGGGGATCGCGGGTTTATTGCCCAAACAGACCTAAGCGACTGGAATGTGCCCAGTATGTAGCGGTCCGGGCAACCTTGCAAGTGAAGCGGACTCATGCTGGAAACTAGGTTGCTTTCAGTTCAGTATACTTATGCAGCTAATGATCCCACGCTTCATAAGGACCCTTGCAAAGCACGGGCCGGGTAGAGGGGTTGGGCCTTAATGCTTTCATAACGGATTGACAAGGGTCGAATAAGGCCAATTGAGGTAGTGTCTCTTACCCCTCTCCCCCTTACCCCCCTAAGAGAGCCACGTTTTCCTCCAGAGGGCTCCGGATCGAACTACCGTGTAAGGCAGCACAGGGCCAGATTCGAAATCCACCGCCCTGCCAACGAAGCTTTTCCATGCCCTGCCCCAAATCCGCAATGCCAGAAGATGGGTCTCTCCTTGGGAAGATTGTGGCAGATGCTTTACGGGCCCAAGGAGGCCTGCTTTTTGCGCGTGGGGCCGGTCTCGGGCGGTTTGTGCGCATTGGGTTTTGCATTGCGTTTATTGGTTGATAGGTGGGGATTGAAGGTTTAATTGGACGAGCTTTCATGCAAGATAGAGGCTTCGGAGTAGTTGGCAGTTGGCCTGCTTGGGATAGCTGTCGCGTCGGGGCCGTTTGGGATAAAGACGCTCCCTGCTGGCAGCTGCCCTTCAACTCGCATGCGGCAATCAACGAGTGGGCAAATCTGCGAGATGCCGGTCATTCATTTGTGGTATAAGCCGTCGATAGCAGGGTGAGATGCAGCTTGTCGGTCGTGGCACAGCTGGTCGTAGTTACGTACAACCGCCGCCGCCACCACCACCGCGGCCACCACCACCACCACCAACTATCACTGCTGGTACTATTGCTTCTTCTGCTCTACTTCCACGTTTAATTCTTTCTACTTTTACAATCTACTATCTACTATCTGCTGTCTGCTGTTGCTACTACTTTCTCCTACTATCTCGTACTATCTCCAATTTTTTTGTCATGACTGGTGCAACTGCGACACACTGTGCTTGCAGGTGTACTTGGTAGCGTTGTTGAAATATCTGCCCTCATGAGGTAGGCTCACAGTCTCACCCTGAACCAGCTAACGTTTCTTGTGCGATAAACCTTCAGTTTCAGCCTCATCACCTGCAAGATTTTCAGCCGATAAGTTGCAGCCTTTCCTGCGCAGGTCAATGTCATTATGCTGGGCCTTGATGCAGCCTCTTGGTAGCAATTGGAAGGTATGGCATAATGATAAGTATTCAGCACTGCAGTATACTTTCCCATACAGAGGCTTCATAGTTCCGAAGTGACACTACACGTTGCGTTGCTTCACCAGCCGATCTGAAACTCCTCGACTGACCTGCACGCGAGCTCCTTGACCGACCAGAAGCCGACTTCGCGCAACAAGAAGCACTCAACCTGGATCCTGTAGATACAGAAGCTCTGCTGCTACAAGTCTTCAAGTCACAGACTTGCGGATGTTGCTTTTTCTCATTCCAAGCCCTTCCGCGACGTCAAACCCGTCATCCCTACATTCGGGTCCCGGACAGGCCCCATGTAATCAGATGAACTCTGAACATCTCTTTTCGCCGGCTGCTACGGATCCAGACTAGGAGCAAGCTGAATTCCGCTATGTTCGGCTCTTCTATGGATTAAGATTTGAGGTTGTTGGTCTGAAGTTCACCTTTTGAGGCTGAGGGCTTTAGGGTTCATGCAACGGCTCCAGGCCCCGGGCCCTGAAGGTGCAGACAGTAGAGCCTAAGGAAGATTCCGATATAACCTTCCTCCATAAAGATGTGGAGAGGCCGGCAAGACGACGATCCTCTACAAGTTAAAAATCGGAGAGATCGTGTCGAGCCTTGGCCGCTATTCGATTTGGCATGATCCTGCACAAAGCCGCCTTGTCACTGTGCCCTCTCAATATGCTGCTCTTCGATGCGTGTTATCGTGTCTGGACATGTCACAGTCAAATCCGTGGAGTGGGTCGTGGGCTATGTATCTCAGCTTATGTCACCTGCGGACACACGACCATGTACTGTACAGTGCTTTATGTAGCGAAGCATGTGCCCTCCATTGCAATTTGGTTGCTAGCCGCTCGAAAGCAACTGCGCACTTTGTCCCGACATTTGCATCCTTGTTGTGCACTGACTGGCGGATTCGGGTTTCAGCCCAGTTTACACCATTGAGAGCAGCTGCCCAACTAGGTCTCGGGAAAATCATCTGATCGTCTGTGGTATGAGCACGCAGAGACGTAGATAGAGGCCCACAGATTCAGACGTGGACTGGTCAGGACTGTCCCGACCATTGGCTTCAATGTGGAGAATGCTTCATGACAGCATCTTAGCCTGACTTCCACCTTCGGCATGTCCATAGGAGCAAAGCTGAGGCATCGTGTGGATTTAGGAAACCCGAGGATGGGTGAGGTGCGTGCTGAAACCTCCAACAAAGTGGGAAGAGCAACCGGTGTCGTGTGAACATGACTTGGAGAGCGGTGGCAGGGTCAAGCAGGGTCCCTGCGGGGGCATTCGGGTGTATCAGGGCTGAGGATTCCATCTTCTCGTGATGCAATGGTGTTGCAGAGTTGCAGAACTTTGAAAGTCGCATGCCATTTTCCTCGTGTCTCTGCTCATCAACGCTTCGCCCCCAGCCAGCACATCCTGAGCTCCAAAGGTTAGGGCCTCAACAGGACAGGGCGGATAAGTGCATCTGAAGCTCCAAAGCTCGGTACTCGAACCTGCGAGGTGCACTATGGTAACATCAACTTCTGCGTATGGGATGTGGGTGGCACCGGGCTCAGCCATAATTCGGAAGGGCAGAGAATGTGAAGCGGGGTTGAAGAGCTTTCAGATTTGGCTTTCGGAGGGGGTTCTTCGACCAGCAGAGGTGTCTGCGTTTTGCAGGGGATCCGGCTTCCGGAAGTTGAGGGCGAAGTGCGCAGAGCAGCCTCACCAGAGGTGCGGCACCCTTTACTGTAGTGCTCCTGACTACATCTTATCATACTGAGAGACATACAGATCCATTCTTCGGCACACAGCATGTCCTCGAACCTCGAATTCGACTTCGACTTCGCGTCTACCGGATGTTGCCAGGTCGTGTATTTTCATGACGGTTTCGGGCTTTGGCTAACCCTAGCTCGTGAGGGAGTGTACAGAGGCTTCTTGGTGAAACATCAGATCCCTTTTCAATCCCGAACTTGACATCCCAAACTCTAAGCCACGTGATACATGCTCCTGTAGAATCGCTGATGCGAAGTTTCAAAGACCTTGGCTTCTCGATCAGGCCAGGAGAAGCTCCGAGGACTGTGGCGACACTACTACAAGGCCCTCCGCCCCCAAATGGCTGGATCCCAGAAGCTCCGGGCCGGCCCGGTTTTTTTGACATAGCTTGGCAATGGACCTGATGTGCAGACGAAGCAGCAACTCTTTTTTGGAGGTGCCTGCGCGTAGGCATGCACGTCTGCGTGTTTGCGAAGGCACGTATGCGCAGACATACATACATATATATATATGTATATATATATATATATGTATATACATACATACATACATACATACATACATACATATACATACATACACACCAAACATACATGCTTATACATACGCATATCCAAAGACAGACATGCATGCATGCATCCATACAGGATTATACAGGCATGCAGGCACACATGCGCAAAGGCATACAGGAATGCAGGCATGCATTTCATTCATAATCTATCTATATATATATATACATGTTTGCATGCATACATACATATACATACATATACATACACACACACACCCCTCCGCATATATACATACATGTAGACATGTATACAACTCTGTGTATATATATAAATATATGTATATATATAAATATATATATACACACACGCACAGACACCTTGCTTTCTCTCTTCCGTCTGTGTGTAACTAGTAAACTAGGATCGGGCTCTTCAAGTTAAGTTAAGGTTTGACTGCAGGGTTCGATGCCACGGGCCAGATGGGCACACGCATGGGCCGCAAGTGAAGACTATTACATCCTGAAGCTGCAGGTGTTCCAGTGTTTGTGGAATTGGGTCCAGAGATGCGCCATGGGTTAACGGAGGCGATTCTAGCCTATTCCTTTTCCAGACATGTATTTATGTCTGGACCACCATGCAGGGAGGGAACGCCCTCATCTTCGTCCTGGACAGTGCTGACCACGACAGGCACGCTACATACCCGGCAGATCACTTTGCCGAGTGGAGAAGGCATCAAAGTCTCATGGAACATCGTGTCAATCGAGTCTGGGGCGTGGTACCGAAGAGAAAATAGGAAGCAGCTACAATGGGTATTGGGATCGCTTTAGCAACACCCGTCAAAGTAAGACTAAGTTCGCTCACGCTTCGTAGTCTTGGACCTATGTCTGCCGATGTAGCTTCCCAAGTACCTATGTCATGCATGCTAGCTTCGTAGATCACCTCGTACACTATGACAAGAACAGCAAGCATTGTACAGTAGTCTTCGAGATTGAACTCCGTATCGTTAGCCCTACACACGATATGGTGTACTAATCTCGTTGGTTTCGAAATCTCGTGGGGCCAGGCTTCCACAAGCCAAAGAGGCACTCCTCTCGATTCTACAGGAGGAGGCTTGAAGGGATATTGACCGGGGCGGTTTATGTTTTTTGGAGAAGGGGCTCTAAACACATGAACTTACATGGTGCCTACAGATCGACAAGGCACACAACGGACAAACACGGTGACGCTAGCACACACGGAGACAGAGCCTACGTGTGTGTATCTTATACACACACACACATTGTACTAATATACACACATGCATACTGATAATGGCAGGTGCACAGTTCCTTGCATAGAACAAGCCAAGCCGGCGCACACAAGCACATAGGCTGTTCTTCAGCAGCATATTCTGTCGGTTGTTTCGTTGTGGTCGCCGATCATGATGTTGGCTGGTCCCATCTGCTCAGCTTTATCTCGATCGGTTTCGCTGCATTCGCTACTCAAGGTTTTGGGTGTGTGTTGGCTATTGGAAGCGTTAGCCAATCAAGTTAAAAGTACACGTGCAGCTGTGTTCTCAGGCCCCCATGTTGAATACCAGGCCTTCAACCAAAGATTCGCATGCGAGAGCCCGAAACCTCAAGCTTCGAAGCCTGTGTCCCAGTACACTGCCTCTGCCATCACGGTACTCCTGACACCTAAGGGGTAGGCGGACGGAAAAGGGGTGATCAAGAAGCTGAAAGCCTGAGTTCTGAACCCTGAGCCCCCGAAGAACCCAAGCCCTCCTAAAGCCCACACGAATGCCCCTCCAACCCTGAAGCTTTAAGCCTCCAAACCGTCAACCCTAAAACCTCCAGACCGTGAACCCTCCGAAAGCCTAAACCCTGAAGCCTAAA